CCTTGCCTCTCCGTGAACTTCGCCTTCGTTGGACAGCGCCGCGTCAATACATATACACCAGGAGAACGAAACCGCCAGGTTCGCCCGAGATCGCATTCCCGATCACTTTCTCCGGAACGGATGGCCCATCGTGGTGTAAAGTAAGATCGCCAGTCTGGATGTGGGAGGTGGACACCGGCAAAGAAGGAAGGAGAGCGAATGTAGCGATGGAATTAAGTTCCTTTTGAACTCTGAAAAAAATTATATCACGGGTATATTTTATTAGCATTATTACGAAATACGAAAGGCATGCTAATTAATGAAATATATAATTCTAATTATCAGGATTATATAGAGGTAGAAGATAGGCAGAATTTTATAATGGAATGAATTGTGAAGATTCTTCTTAAATTTTATAAATTAATTTTTGGATGAAACATACATTTGGTATCTTTATAGCAATAATTAGATGAAAAGAATCTACCAAATTTCCATCTTCCCAAATAATATAGTCAACGTCTTTATATTAAGTTTATATAAATACATCATTAAAAATAAAGAATCTCTCTAAACTATTCTGCTGATTTTCAATGATAGGTTCTTTTGAGAACGAAAGAACTAAATCCAAGAATAGATAATGGTAGATCGTCACTCGACGAGCTTTATGGAAAGAAATGAGTAGATCAGTTCCATCGCTAGATAGCCGAGTTACAGGCTTTCCGTAACGCTGTCCCGTCGAAACCCACCACTGTTGCGTCTCGATTTCCTCCGACTATGTGGACTACCTCCTCCACCAGGACGATTTTACCACCACCTTTGCCACCTGGCCCAGACACACTACGAGCCACCTTCGGACGATAGCACTGGGGGAGAATACGCGCCTATATAACTACGGCGTTCCGCTGATTGGACGAAGTAACTTACGTTTTCCTGCACTTAGGGAACAAGAGTACGCGGCCCGAGCCCGACGGGCGGCATTGCGAGAAATATGAGGATTCGCCCGGGATGCGTGGTCAGTTTTTTTTTTTTTCTTTTCCTTCAACATATTCGTTTCGATTCAGTTCCTCCATTTCTAATCCATAAGCCGTGATTCTTCTAACCATCTCGCAGTTAATTATCCTTTGGCCATCGCAAGGTGGATGCTTTCATAAAATTTCATCGTAGCAAAGGCGCAAGCGTATCTTTAAGTGATTGTCTTTCATCGTATCCGGAGTAAGTAACGTGTTTCTACGATCGAAGAATTGACGATTGTTGGAAGATCATCGTGTTTAAAGATCTTAGTAGACCAATGTTGATTGTCATTCAACAATTGGAACCATCAAACGCTCCAGTATGATAGTACGTAGATTATTTGTAATCATTTTGTTGTTCATTTCCAGAGAAAATGCGGATACCCGATTCATGGCATTCGTAAATAACTTCAAATCTATGGATTTTAATTTTAATTTTGAAAATTTGATATTGCAGAGATATTAAAATGAAATTGTTTCTGTAATGTACCACGATCTTAAATATTTCTGTTTCTGTTCAATAGCCATGGTATTTCTCTTCAACCACTGTGTATAATAAGTTTGAGAACAACAGTGAACAGAACCAGGACTGTAGGACGACGGTCACTATTTGTCGACAAATATGTTACTTGATTATCGATCAGCGACGAGTTTCGAAAGTGATGTTCCATAAAGAAACAACCATTAAAAGTCATGTCTGGAGCATCGCTGTAAAAAATCTTCGTGAGATTTCTCCGTGTCTCGTATCAAACACTTACATTTCGATTTTCTTATTAAGATCGAAATGCTGATTAAATCTGAAATTCAAAGACAGCAAAGGCCGGAGAACGTTAACGTAGTGGTGGCATGCTACTTGTAGTGAAATTCCGTAATATCCGTATAATTATGTTATTTACAGGCTGCACTAGCAGTGCTACTGCAAGTCGCATTTGTGGCGAGCAAGGCAGTGGATCAGAATCAACTGCAGCAACAAAAGTCACGGCAACAAATTCCGTACGTATATACATTTTTGCTAAAAATGACATTTCATTAAAGTCGTATTTTTATATATATATTTATCTTTCACGCTGTTAATATTTTTTTTTTTCTTTTTAAATAATAGTTCAAACTTCAGTAATACTGTACCAAATACAACAGTTATTTTTGCTAATAAATTTAAACCGTTATTACGAATTATCATAATTTTTATACATAGATATGGCACAGC